GCAGTCATGATGACGAGGAAGAAGCGGAGGGGGAGGAGGAGGAGGAGGAGGACGAAGAGGAAGAAAAGGATGGGGGAAGCGAGGAAGAGGAAGACGAGGCGGCGCGGCGGCTGCGGCGGCGGCGGGAGCGCAATGAGGCGCGAAAGGCTCGTAAAGCGGCAGCGGACGCGGCGGCAGGGGAGGGCGAGGGTGGCGGCGGCGGCCAGGGGGGCGCTCGGAAGAAGAAGTCCAAGGGCCGGGGTCGTGCGGGCGGTGCGGGACTGATTCCCACGTCCAAGATGACGATGCTGGTCAAGGTGGTGAAGGAGGCGATGGCTGCTGCGAGAGGTAGAGGGGGGCCGAGGGTGGGGCCCTGAGCCAGTGGGGTAGCGTGTGGGGAGGGAAAAGGACCTTGGGGGCTGTGGGACCTCATACCATATTCAAATTGACAAAACGACCTTTCCCATCCCCAGGGGATTTGGGAGATGGAGATGGGGATCCGCGACGCGCCGTTGTCCTTGTTGAGGTTGTTGTTGGGGGGGGGAGCGATGGCGGTGGTGGTTGTGGTGGTGCTGATTGCGAGGATGGTGGCAATGTACACCCCACCCCACCCCACACACACACCCCATACACAGAAGTGGCGGAAAGGAGGGATGTGGTGTGGTGTGGTGTGGTGTGGTGTGGTGTGGTGTGGTGTGGTGTGGTGTGGTGTGGTGTGGTGTGGTGTGGTGTGGTGTGTGCGGAAAAGGGGCCTCCGACATCACCCCACCCCCCCTTCCCCCCTAGTGGGAGGGCAATCCCAGGGATTGACCTGGTATGAGAACCATCGGCCCCTACTGACCAAGGTGGAGGGAGGGAGAGAGCGCGAAGGGGCGTCCAAGTCTCGGGACTGCCCGCGCTCGTATGTCCGTGTCCACGTCCACGTCCGTGTGGGGGGTCTTGGGCGCCACGTCCATATAGCTCTGGACGCCTCATCCCCCCATGCAAGTGCTTGGTGACCTGACCCACCCCTCCACGTAACCTCCCGCTCTTCCCCGCCATCGATCGACCTTACTGACTGCTCTAAGCAAACTCACACCGCCTGCCTATACACCCAATCACCCACAACAACAACCCCTACTCCCCAAACCCCAAACCCCCAACCCCACCTCCTAACCCCCCAACCCCCCCCACACACACACGCTCGACTGCTCATGATACAACCACCACAGCCATGGAAGCGGAGGACGACGAGAAGGGGAGCGGGAAGGCCCATCACCATCATCGGCGCAAGAACCGCCGCGGCGGCGGCGGCGGCGGCGGCGACGACCCTGCGACGTCGATGCGCATGCTGACGGCGGCTGCGGCGGCGCTCAACATGAGCGTGGAGGCATACGTGGCGATGCGGAACCGCAAGATGGGGGTGACGGCGCTGAAGCCCTGGCAGCCACCGCCCTTCCCCCTACTGATTGAGGCCGACGGGAAGCCAATTGCCCTAGAGGAGCATGTACGTGTGCGCGGGTGGGTCCATGGATGGTGTGCAGGTGTATGTATGTATGTATGTATGTATGTATGTATGTATGTATGTATGTATGTATGTATGTATGTATGTATGTATGTATGTATGTATGTATGTATGTATGTATGTATGTATGTATGTATGTATGTATGTATGTATGTATGTATGTATGTATGTATGTATGTATGTATGTATGTATATGGGGGTTGTTTCAGGCGGTAGACCTTTCGAAGTTCCGAGTATTTTATTAAGAGGACGCGAAAAGGGACAGGCCGAAGGGACAGGCGAAGAGGACGAGAGCCTCCCGTGTGCTCTCCGAGGTGGTTGCTGTGTGTTTTATTATTTATTATGATCGTGTTTTTATATGATATTTTGAGCCTTGTCTTGTGTGTGCAGGAACTTCGGCAAATGGAGCAGGAGGCCCGTCAGGAGCTTCTGGAAAAGGCCGCCATGGACTTTGTCGCCGCCGCTACCTCCGCGTCCGCCGCCACATCGTCCCTGGACACGTCCACGATCAGCGGCAGTACAATATCGGCGTCAGCGTCGGCGTCAGCGTCGGCGTCAGCGTCAGCGGATGCGTCGTCTGTGCACACCTGGGGCAGCGCGGCAGCGGCAGCGCTGGGCGGCGGCGGCGGCGGCGGCGGCGGCAGCATCAACGGGCGGCAGCTCTTGCAGTCACTGTCGGTCTCCGGGGCGAGGAGTGCAGCGGAGGCGGCGGCGGCGTTCGCTGCGGCGGCGGCGCCGTCGTTGACAATCCCCGAGGACGACGTCTGGTCTTTGGTGAAGGAAAAACTCCGTCAGCGCATGGCGGCGCGTGCAGGGGGAACGAACGGCGGCGGCGGCAGCGCCGCCGCCGCCATCTCGACGGCGGGCGCCACTGCCGCCAGCATCCGCGCCAGCCTCTTTGATTCGGAATCGGATTATGACGACAGCGAGTACGACAGTAGCGGGTACGATGTTGACGAAAGCGACGACACTGGACGGCGCCGTCGCCGCCGTCGCGGTCGCGGCGGGCATCGAGGGCCTGGCGGCAATGCGGCCGCCTCCGACAGCCGACGGGCGGGCAGGAGCCCCCGCAAGGGCCATGGTTCGCACATCAACGACGGAGGCGGCCGCTCGCCCAGGCGGCGGCGCGGCGGCCACTCGTCGGACTCTGGTTACGAGACTATGTCAGAGGACGAAATTCGTACTGCCGGACACACGACACTGCTTAGAATTCAGCATCAGAAGGAGCGCTCACGGGA